GCAGCCACTGCATTCCAGTCTGGGTGACAGAGTGAAACTCCAACTCAAAAAAAAAAAAAATATTCAAGTAAGGTCCATATGCTAAAATTGGTCTCTGCTAGTCTATAACATTTTCCTACCCCTTTTAATTTTTTTTCTTTCTATTTATTTATGGGAGAAATTGGGTGATTGGTACTGTAGAATTTTCTGCATTCAGAATTTGACTATGTTTCCATAATGTTACTTAGCATTCTATTCCACCCCTTGTATTTTCTACCAACATGTAGATAAATCTAGGGTTTGATTGGATTCAGGTTTTTCTTTTTTTTTTTTTAACAAGAATATGAGGTCTGACGATTAAGTTCATGAACTCATCCTAGAAAAAGTACTACATACCTCATTGCTGAATATCACTACAGTCACCTTTGAAGTATTCCCCTTGGGAAGTTATGCACCAACACCAGCGCCTAGTCTACCCATCAAAGCAATTTTGGAACTCTTTCTGGAATGGCCATCAGAACTGTCCTTGTGACAATGTCAGAGTTTGAATTAGAGCAGTGAACAAACATTAAATTTCTTTTTAAACTTGGCAAGAGTGGAAGCGAAATTAGAGACATATTAATACAAATTTATGGAGATAATGCCTTGAAGAAAACAGCAGTGTACAAATGGATTAAGTGTTTTTCTGAGGGAAGAGAGTGTCACTGATGAAGAGAGGTCAGGACAGCCAGTAATGAGCAGAACTGATGAAAACATTGTAAAAATTAATTGAATTGTGTGTCAAAATCTTTGGCTGAACTGTGAGAAACATAGCGGACCAAATAAACATCAATAGAGAAGAAGGAAAATCCTAACTGAAAATCTTGGCATGAGAAAGTTGTGTGCAAAAATGGTCCTAAAGGAGCTCTTATATCACAACACACCAGCTCACACAGTGCTGTCTGTGAGGGAGTTTTTAACCAGTAAACAAATACCTGTATTGGAACACCCCTCCCAACTCACCTGATCTGGCCCCCAATGACTTTTTTCTTTACCTAAAGATAAAGGAAATATTCAAAGGAATATGATGACAGCTCTGTTGGCCATTTCAGAAAATGAGTTCCAAAATTGCTTTGATGGGTAGATGAGTGCTGGTGTCGGTGCATAGCTTCCCAAGAGGAGTACTACAAAGGTGAGCATAGTGATATTCAGCAATGTAGCCCTCATTCTAGGATGAATTCACGAGGTTAATTGTCAGCCCTCATATATCATAGATGGTGCTGTGTACTTGTGAACTTCCTTTTGCATCACATCAGTAGACACCTCATGTCAGTTCTTTGTCTCTTTCTCTCTGTAATGTTAAATTGATCAGTGTTTAACATTACCTATGAAATATTTGTACCGAAAACTCAAACATGGATCTGATCAACCTTTTATATCTACCAACTATAAGAAACATTGGGGCCAGAGGAGTGTCAAAAGGACAGGGGTAGGTTGGGCCTGGTGGCTCATGCCTGTAATCCTAGCACTTTGAGAGGCCAAGGTGGGAGGATTGCTTGAGGCCAGGAGTTTGTGACCAGCCTGGGCAATAAAGAGAAACCGTGTCTCTACATGACCTCTTGCCCCCCTGACCTCCACCCCCAAAAAAGCACAAAGATGCAATTAGCTAAATCCATACTAGGAAACTCTAAGGACAGAAATCTGATTTCTTTTATAAATAAATGGGAAAGACAAAAGTAAAGAGAGAGAGGGAACTGTTAAAAACTAAGAGAAATCAACCACATGAAAGTATGGACTTCTCTTGAATCCATTGCAAAGAAAAGAGGGAGAGGGACCCTATAGAGTTCATGAGACTTAAGAGGCATACAGCCAGTTGCAGTGTATGTACCTTATTTGGAACCTGCTTTGAAAAACCTGTTTCATTTATTTATTTATTGAGTTGGAGTCTCACTCTGTCGCCCAGACTGGAGTGCAGTGGCCGCTCCTGGCCACCACAGCCTCAACCTGCTGGGCTCCAGCAATTCTTTCGCCTTAGCCTTCCAAGTAGCTGGAACTACAGGCCCACACTACCACACCTGGCTAATTTTTTAATTTATTGTAGAGATGAGGTCTCGCCAAGTTACCCAGGCGGGTCTCGAACCCGTGGGCTCAGGCAATCCACCCACCTCAGCCTCCCAAGGCGCAGGATTACAGGCTGAGCCACTGAGCCCGGCTGAAAAACCTGTTTCAAAAAATTGATAAAACAGGGCAATTTGAACATTGACCAGATATTTTATGGTGTTAGGAAATTGCTGTTACTATTTTTAGGTATAATAATGGTATTTTGCTTTTCTTTTTTAAAAACCCTTATCTTTTATAGGAGTGATTCTCAATGGGAGGGCAAGTATTTTTGTTTCCCCAGGAGACATATGACAATGTTTGGAGATACTCTTGTCATTCCCACTTGTCACAGCTGGAGTTGGGGAGTTACCAGGTAGACACCAGAGATGCTGCTAAACATCCTACAATGCACAGGACAACCCCCACAGCAACAGACTACTTGCCCAAAATGTTAATAGTACCAAGGTTTAGAAACCTTGTTTTAGAGATGCATACTGATGTATTTATGGATGAAATGTTATGTCTAGGATTTGCTTCAAAATAATGGAGTATAGAAATGAATTGGGGATATAGATGGCAGAGTATTAGTCATGAGTTGCCAAATAATTATTGAA